CCGCCAGCCCCGGCCAGATGTCCTTCACCTTCGCTTCCCCCACGCAGGTCCAGACCCCGCGCCGTCGCCGCCCCGGGGCGCGAGCTCCTACCTCAGGTCGCCAGCCTCCCTCGGTGGCCCCTTCCCCGTCCCTTCCGGAGGACGGGGTGCCCTCTTTTCCCCAACCCACAGAATCGCAGGATTCGCTGCGTCTCGGGCTCCCGGAAACCGAGCTCCCATCCCCTCGTGGCCGAACGCCTTTTCCCGGACATCGCAGTTCCCCCAACAGTGGTGTCCAGCCCCAGCCGTGCATCTCGAGTTGGGGCGGGGCGGGGTAGTGGAGAAATGGCTTGCAGACTTCCACCCCCCGAAACAAATCCTCAAGACCAACTTACCTCTGGCCATACATTGCTACTTGCCCAGAGCACGTCTCTAGATAAACTCTCGGATATATCCCTTTTCTGCTAAAATGGCCTTTGTTGTGGTCTTTCTAGAGAGTGGCTCGGTGGCTCTGTGTGCTGGTGTTCCCATTCTGCAGATAAGCGGTGGAGGGCACAGCTGACCCCAAACCAAAGCCAGGGCTGGTGGCGTTTGTCCCCACCTGGACTCAGTCCCGCCTGGATCCATTTCACAAGAAATACTGAGTCCCTAGTGGCCATGGCACTGGCCCGCAGCAACAGCGTCCCCCATGCTGCCCTCTCCAGGTATTCTTCAACAGTGCCAACGTGCGGCAGGTGGATGTGCCCACACTGACTGGAGCCTTTGGCATCCTGGCGTCCCATGTGCCCACTCTGCAGGTCTTACGGCCGGGGCTGGTTGTGGTCCACGCTGAAGATGGCACCACTACTAAGTACTTTGGTTAGTCTGGTGGGCTTCAGTAAGGGCCTCCTGAACCCGTAAGGTTGGCTGGGCACAGTCATCTGGGAAACTGCAGAAAACAGTTCATGTTTCTGTGAATCAGTGCAGTGTGTGTGTGGGGAGGTGACAGATTAGGAAGAGAGACGGGCAGCTTAGGAGAGATCGTTAAGCTAAGGAGCTGGGCACGGAGGTGCACACCCCTCATCCCAGCTGCTAAATAGGCTGAGGCAGGAAGTTGGTAAGTTGTTTTGTTTTTTGGTACCGGTGATCGAACTCGGGACCTTGTAAGGCAGGCACTGGAACCACAGAGCTAAATCCCCAGTTCCATGGAAGTTGGCAAGTGTGAGTCCAGCCTGGGTAACTCAACAAAACCGTCTTAATTTTTCTTTTCTTTTTTTTTTTGGTATGAGGGATTGAACTTGGGTCCTTGCGCTTAGGTGGCAGAACTACTGAGCCAAACCCAATGGGATGGGGTTCTCAAAATTTTAAAAAGGTAAGGGCGGGGGATTTAGCTCATTGGCGTCACACTTGCCTCGAAAGCACAAGGTCCTGAGTTCAATCCCCGGTACTGGAAAAAAAGATTTAAAAAGGTGGAGATATAGCTCAGTGTGCAGGCCCTAGGTTTGATCGCCATTGTGTGTGTGTGGCGGGGGAGGTGTCTGAGAAAGTTTGTCTGCATGAGGAGTGGGATTTGAATCTAGCTTCTGGTCTGTCCTGACCTAAGCTCAGCATGCGCTGGTGGGTTCAATGAAGGATCTGCTGCCCAGGGGTTATCTTTGGTGGCTCTGTAGTTCCAAGGGTGTTCTCAGGCTTTTCTTCCTTCACTGTTCTGTTCTTCCTTGGAGTGTTTGTCCCTCTCTGGCCCCTTCCCCCGTCCTGTGTGTGTGCTGGATCCTAGAGTCAGTACTGTGGGATCTCCCTGGACTGGTGGCACTTACACTTGGGCACTGGGAGCACTTGGAGTGGCAGCACGGACAAGGACTCAAGCTGTTCCTGCCCTCCCTCCGCAGTGAGCAGTGGCTCTGTCACAGTGAACGCTGACTCCTCCGTACAGTTACTGGCTGAAGAGGCTGTGACACTGGACATGTTGGACCTGGGGGTGAGTGTCAGTGGGGAGACTGAGGCTCAGAACTGGCAGGAGCAGTCCAGAGTTCCGTGGCTGCTGGGGAGAGTGCTCAGTGCAAGAGGTGGTGCTGAGGTGCTGGGCTGGGTTCTTTATCTTTTTTTTTCTTTTTGGTGCCGGGGACAAATCCCTGGCCCCATGGGCTGGCGATCTTGCCTAGCCTTCACTCTGTCCCTGTCCCCTACAGACGGCCAGGGCGAATCTGGAGAAGGCACAGTCGGAACTTTCCGGGGCCGTGGATGAGGCCGCACGAGCAGAGATCCAAATCCGAATCGAGGCCAACGACGCCCTAGTGAAGGCCCTAGAGTAGCCGGTGCGTGTCATTCATCGCCAGGGAAACATTTCAGGCCAGGGCTGTCCCAGGGGTAGGTGGAGCCAGCGCTCCAACCCGCCCCGTTTGGGGGTGTTCTGCGAACCCTGGGAGCTATGCTTCCGCTGTTGGCCACCAGGGGACAGTGCGGCACGATTTACTTCTCGTTTTCAGGCTTGCTGGCCAGAAGCCTGTCACCTGGCCAGGTCCGACAGCCACCCACCACCCTCTACCCTGCAGAGCCTACTTTGGAGACCTGCCTGCTCCAACCTCCACAGAATAGCTGCCCCGGCCCCCATTCCCCTATAAAGATGAGGAACCCTAACTGGTGTGTACTGTTTTTGTTGACACCTTCCCCTAATCTTGGAGCCCTTTGAATCGGGGTCTCAGGACCTCTTTGGACTGGGTGTCCTGGTCGCCCTCAGTAAACTGAGGCTCAGAAGCAGTGTGTGGGATGCAGAGTGCTGGCCATGATTACAGTGGGGGAGGGCAAAGGTCACATCCAGGGCTGGAGAGGTGCCAAGGGAGTCAGGCCTGGGGTGTTTGCCATGTCTGCTGTCCAGGCCTGACACTGTGACCGCCCCATCCCGCCCTACAGGCCTGGGAAGCAGGGCCCCACCTGCTCCCACAGAAGCCCTGCCCAGCCTGTGGGTGGCCCTGCCCTGGCAGGCAGCCCAGTCACCAGTGCTGTTGGCACCTCTAACACCCTCTGTAGGCACCCAGGCACCTGGCTGGCCCCCAGTTTGTGTGGGGGGTCGGCCCAGGATGGGGTGGCTGGGACACTGAGGCATCAGGGATCCCTGCCTCCTCTCCTCCACCATGGTGGGGGAGGGAAAGGATTCCAGGGGGGTGAGTGTACAGGGCTACTGCGTATGTCTCTGGAGCCAGGATGGTGACACGGAGGCCACCCTGGGACCTGTGTCAGCACATAGGCGGCTCACTCTGTCATGGCCCCATGTAAGTGACTCCCCAGAGCCACATGGCATGCCCGGCAGTGGGTATATTGGAGCCTCCAGGGACACACCATGGAGTGTCCTATCGGAAAGTCATGAAGGGTCAGAGGGCCAGCCTGGGCCTCATCCGGGTCTTCTTCCTTTGGGCCTGAGAGCAACTTCCCTCTTCCCCCCAGTACAGGCCACACCCTTCCCATCCCCCACAGCCATAGGCGCTATAAATAAGGAGGTAGCTGGGCTTGGCTGAATCCCAGAAGGAGATGTCACTGAGCCTCTTAACCCTGGCTGGGACCAGCATACCCCACATGGAGGGACCCGCCCCCACTCCACAGATGACAGGGAGTCTACTCCCCAGGGAGATGTGAACCAGGCTGCAGAGACAGCCTGCAGTCCATGCCAGCTCTTGGAGAAGAGGCAGAATGGGGACAGGACAACTAAGGGTTCCATGCAGTGCTCACAGCTTCACCTGGGGTGAAACACTTGAGGACAGGGGTGACCCATGAGAAGAAAAGACAAGGAGCAGGTGCCATACACCTTTTACTGTTTAGATAGCAAATACCTCATCTCCGGGGGCCACCACTCCCACACCGACCAGGCTCACCAAAGGTAGCATTCCACTTCTGGTCATCTGAGGTCACAGTGTCCAGGCTACCACCTGGGTCCTCCCCAGCCCAGTGCCACCTGTCCACCAGGAGAGGCAGAGGTAAGCAGGGCCAGTTAGAGGTATCCAACACTGGGTGGCTTGGCTTCCAGGGCCCTCAGGATCCCTCTGCCATGGCTGTGCCTTCCAGATGCAGGGCAGCCTAGCAGGTCCCTGCTCCCCACAACTCCCTGACCTGAATCTGCTCCCCCACCTTCAGTTCAGCCTCCTTCCTTGAGCAGCTGACTCTCCAGAGCCAGTCTATTCTCAGTTCCTACAGCACCGTCCTCGGTGGGACAAGCTCTGAGTCACCGCTCAAACTCCCACCCCTGAAACCCCTTCCCAAGGTCCTCTGGCCAGGAGTATGGGTGCACCTGGTATAGGCTGGGGGACCAGAGACAACAGGGATTACAGGGTGGGAGTGGGAACAAGCAACCTGGAAAGGAACAGCCATAGGAGGGGCACCCAGGGCAGGATGGAAGTGGAGGTGGCTGGACAGATAAAAGGAGAAAGCAGGTAACTGGGCTGGAGGTGGTGGAGGAGGACCTGGGTCCCCTATGCCCTGCCCAACCAGGGTCACCCTAGGAGACCCCCCCCCACTCAGGAAGAAAGATGCTGGCTGAGTGGGTTATGCCCACCCCAAAGACCTGAGCTGGCTGTGTGCACACATTGGTTAGTGAGGACAATAGCCCTGCACCTGTGGGCCCAAGAGTGAGCCTGCCGGGGAGAGGCCAGTTCTTTCCTGAGGTCACACATGGCTGCTGGTGGCGACTGGCTGGCCCCAACCCACACTAGCCTCTGTTTAATCACTTCAGAAATGCCCTGTGAGGTCACCGTTAGGGGATGCAGCAGCTGGTCTGGATACCACTGCCCGGCTGGTGACTTCGGCCTTTTTCCTGGATGGCGGCCGCTGACTCAGGCCCTCTTCTCAGCACCGAGCCTGGACATCCAGGAAGGAAAACAGGACAGGGATCACGGCCAGGGCCCCCAAAACTGGGTGAGCCCGAGGTCACCACGAGGTAGGCAGGACTCCTGGGTCAGTGGTATTCAAACCCCCCTCCCCCCGCCATACACACAAACACACAGACCGAGCGAAGCCTGGAGGCCGGGTATCCCAGGCCACTGACTGTCCTGGGGCCC